CATACATACATACATACATACATACATACATACATACATACATACATACATACATACATATCCATATATCCATATCCATATATCCTTCTTGGGATTATTATACCTTGTGATTGTGTACTTTTATTAAAAGTACACTTCCTTATAAAATTTCTCCCTGCTGACCAGAAATAAGGAACTTCTTGGGACAGAATGTTTCTGCCCAAAATATTTCTGCCTCAAGTTGCTTTTCAGGAGGCAAATGTCGCTGGGAGGTGCGGGGGGGGGGGGGGGGGGGGGCAGCGGAGAAAGAAAGAGGAAAGTTAAAGTCAAAGGGAAGGTGACCAATTCAAGCAAACAATGGCAGATACCAGCTGAAGGGTGTGGAGAATTATACATAAATACGCAATTGGATAAAATAACCATTTATGGGTTTTATAAAATGGGAAGCAGATGAGAAAAAAAGGTAGACAATACGAGTGGTTCGGCACACAGTTAAGAACATAAAGACCAAGGCAAAGAGGAGGAGGAGATGAAAGAGCAGAGGAGACCTAGGGAAAGAGAGGTCAGAAGTGAAGAAGATGGGACATTGCAAAAAGGGGTCCAGGTTTTTGTGAACCTCCACAAGAAACCAGTGACAGGTAATGCAGGAGGAGGTGTTCTGTTCTTCTCAACTGATCAGTACTGACTTGGACAGGAAGCCATCTGTAGTCACGGAAGGAAGTTCCTTGCTTTGTGCTCCATGGCCCTGCTGCTGGATAGCTGCACCCACCAGGGATCGACTGGACAATGGTCCCTTGGGCAAGCTGTACAGATAGACAGCCCCTATGACCAGGCCTGCTCCTAGAGCAAAGAGTAGATTGAGGTGGAAGTCAAAGAGGTAGATAGAAGCCACAGTGGACACCACAATGGAGAAGGAGGTGGCAAAGCCTTTGAGGATGTTGTCGGCGTATTTCACAACCAGTGCCACCAAGAGGCCACCAAAAGCCTGATTCAGGATCACTCCCCACACCAGTGGGGTGTAGCCAAAGAAGAATCCATGCTGAGCTACGGCTGCCCCCTCGGTGGACCACAGCCCCAACAGCCCCAGCAAGGTCCCGAAGATGCCCAGTTGGACGTTACGCAGCCAAACCGAGGCTGTGCTGCCTTTGAGGATCTTTTCAAAATAGACCCCGGCAAAGCCAGACGAGAGGCAGGACACCACCACGGCCACAAGTCCCACCATGTAGCTTTGTTGCATCCCCTGGTCTTTGTGGGCTGGTTTGCCCCCTGCCTGCTGCTGCTCCACCTGGACAATGGCTACACCGGCAAAAAGAAGCAGGAGGGACAGCCACTGAAGACGGGACAGGCTCTTGCGGAGCATCAGCACCGAGAAGACAGCTGTGGTGAGGATCTTCAGCTGGTAGGTGACCTGGGAAAGGCAGTGCAGTTTAGTAGCCAGCCCAATGTGCCATGAATCAGGAATCTGCCTGCCACCAAGCCAGGGGCCTAAGGATTATGTGGTTCTCCTTAGTCCCAGACTCTACATTATGAAAGAAATCTCCAGATTGTTTGGACCACAATCCCCAGAATTCCCAGAAGCTTTGGGGAGTTGCAGCTCCACTCATCCAGAAGATATCTGGTTAGGGAAAGTTAATCTAAATCACTATATTACCTAAATCACCGTTATTACCTTTAAAGCCCTACATGGCTTAGGGCCAGCGTACCTTCGAGACCGCCTACTGCCACATACCTCCCAGCA